AGTGGATAAATAAAAAACATAGTATACCCATATGATGCAATATTCTTTGGCAATGAAAAGGAAAGAAGTAGTGATACATGCTACAACATGAATGAACCTTAAACACATCACACACTAAGTGAAACGTGCCTGTCACAGAAGGCCACATACTGAAGGCTTCCATTAATATGCAATGCCCAGAACAGGCAAGAGACAGAAAGGAGATTAACAGTTGCCTAGGAAGCAAGTAAAGAGTGACTGCCAAAGGATGTGGGCTTCATTTTAGGGTGATGAAGATATTCTAAAATTGATTGGTAATAGCTGCATAATGCTGTGAATATACTAAAAAGTTTTAAATTGTATAATTTAAATCGATAAACTGTAATGTATGTGAACTATATCTCAATAAAACTTTTTTAAAAAATCCAATACTGCCCTGGCCGGTTTGGCTCAGCGGTTAGAGCGTCGGCCTGTGGTCCAGAGAGACCCGGGTTCGGTTCCCGCTAAGGGCATGTACCTCGGTTGCTCCTGGTTGGGTTGTGCAGGTGGCAGCCACCCGATGTGTCCCTTTCACGTCGATGTCTCTCTCTCTCTCTCTCCCCCACTCTATCTGAACAAAAATATGGAAAAATGTCCTCGGATGAGGATAAAGAAAATAAACAAAAAAAACAATACTGCTCTCAAGAGTCCAAGTAATAAGGATTAGGTGAGAGTCATCCCAATTAAAAAAGAATTTACTGAAAGGCAATTCAAAAGCTGGTGTTATTTCAGGGCTTGAAATCTTTAATTCTATAATGCTACCATGTGACTCAGCAATGAAGAAAAGTATCAGTTATTACAACAGACAAAATACTTTACTTCTTTGCAAAACTATGTGGCCTAAAAGATCAAACAAAATTTTCTGGGAAACTTCAGACTAGACAGAATCCTATGCTGTCTTGCCTTGATCTTATCAGAGGTATGTGATTCAAGAGACTGACATGAGCAGCATCATTCTGGTTTTCCGGATTTGGGGTTTCAGGCATAGTATACTTTCTGATGATTCAAAGTAACACAAATATCACTATGAAGAAAATTTGAAGTGGGAAACACAAATTCACTTTTTTCTAACTTGAGTTGAACTGGTCCTCATTTTGACGACAACAGTCACAATACAGGTAAACTCAACATGGATTAAAGACTTAAATGTTAGACTCGAAACCATAAAAATCCTAGAAAAAAACACAGGTAATAAAATCTCAGATATTTCTTGTAGCAATATTTTTTCTGATATATGTCCTTGCATGAGGAAAACAAAAGAAAAAATAAACAAATGAACTACATCAAACTTAAAAGTTTTTGAACAGCAAAGGAAACTATCAAATTGAAAAGACAACCCACTGAATGGGAAAACATTATTTGCCAATGATATATATCTGCTTAGAGGTAATATCCAAAATTCATAAAGAACTTATAAAACTCACATCACTAATCATCAGAGAAATGCAAATTAAAACCACAATGAGGGCCCTGGCAGGTAGCTCAGTTGGTCAGAGCACTGTCCCCACACACCAAGGTTGTGGGTTCAATCACTGGTCAGTGCACATACAAGAATCAGCCACAAAAAATATATAAATAAATGGAACAACAAATCAATGTTGTTCTCTTCTTTCCCTTCCTCTCTCTCTAAAATAATTTTTATTTTTTAAAATCTACAATGAGCTATCACCTCACACCTGTCAGAATGGCTATCATCAGTAAATCAACAAACAACAAGTGTTAGCAAGGATGTAGAGAAAAGGGAACCCCTGTGCACTATAGGTGGGAATGCAGGTTGGTGCAGCCACTGTGGAAAGCAGTATGGAGTTGCTTCAAAAAATTAAAAATAGTCTGGCCGGTGTGGCTCAGTGGTTGAGCGTTGACCCATGCACCAGAGGTTGCTGTTTGATTCCTAGTCAGGGCACATGCCCAGGTTGTGGGCGAAATACCCAGTGAGGAGCATGGAGGAAGCAACCAGTTGATGTTCTCTCTCATCGATGTTTCTATTTCTCCCTCTCCCTTCCTCTCTCTCTAAAAATCAATGAAAAGAAAATAAATTTTTTAAATTAAAAATAGAACTGTCTTATGACTCAGCAATTTCACTTCTGGGAATTTATTGGAAGAAACCCAAAACACTAATTAGAAAGAATACACACACTCCTATGTTCATCGCAGCATTATTTACAATAGCCAAGATTTGAAAGCACCCCTGGTGTCCATCAGTAGGTAAGTGGATAAAAAAGCTGTGGTACATTCATATAATGCAATACTACTTGGACATAAAAAAGGAGAAAATCTTACCCTTTGCAACAGCATGGATGGATCTGGAGAGCATTACGTTAAATGAAATAAACCAGTCAGAGAAAGACAAGTACCATATGATTTCACTCATATGTGAAATCTAATGAACAAAAAGAACTAACAAGCAAAATAGAGACAGATCATAGATACAGAAACAGGCTGACAGCTGTTAGGTGGGGTGGGGACTGAGTGATTGAGGGAGGAAAAAAAAAAAGATAGAAAAAATATTCACAAACTCATGGATACAAACAACAGTGTGGGTAAAGGGGATGATATGAGGTGATAGAAGGGAGACTCGACTTGGCATGGTAAACACACAATGCAGTGTACAGATGATTTGTTGTGGAACTGTGCACCTGCATACTTTTGTCAACCAGAGTCACCCCCAATAAATTCAATAAAAAGGAAGAAAAAAATTTTTTTTTAATCCTGCAGTATTTGACTTAAAAATCAACCAAGTGGCAGGGTTTGAGGGGGTAGATGTTTAAACCCATAACCAGATTCTCTTGAAAAACCTGAATGAAGATCAATAGTCAAGACTCCACAGAATCAAACTCACATCTAATTCTATAGGAAAGCCAGATCAGTGTAACACAGAAGAACAAGAGAAAAAAGACCATTTCTTGAGCCTTGCTGTATTTAAGAAACATGGTAGATTCCACAAAATGTTAAATTTCTTTTTTTTTTAATCCTCACTCGAGGACTTTTTTTCATATTTTGTTCAGATAAAGCGGGAGGGGGAGAGAGGAAAAGAGAGAGAGAGAAACATCGACATGAAAGGGACACATCGAGTGGTTGCCACCCGCCGGGGAAAAACTGCAACCGAGGGCCGGGGAAAAACTGCAACCGAGGTACATGCCCTTAGCGGGAACAAACCCAGGTTTCTCTGGACCTCAGGCCAACGCTCTAACCACTGAGCAAACCCAGACAGGGCTGATTTCTTATTCCTATATTATCTCCAAAAGACCTAAGAAGAAATTCTAACAACGATGCCAACAGAAAGATATACTTTGTGGGGTGAGGCATCAGGAGGTGGGCATTCTGTTTTCAGCTTCTCCAATGGGCTTCTGGTTAATTTTTTATTTTATTTTTAATTAACTTATTTTTTAATCTTCACCTGAGGATATTTTTCCATTTTTCTTCAGAGAGAGTGGGAGGGAGGGGGAGAGAGAGGGAGGGGGGAGAGCGCAAGAGCGAGAGAGAGAAAACACATGGATGTGAGAGAGACACATTGACTGGTTGCCTCTTGCTTGACTCCCACCAGGGCTGGGGATGGAACCACAGCCGAGGTATGTGCCCTTGACCAGAATCAAACTCACAACTTACTGGTCTGCGGCCAGAGCTCTATCACTGAGACAAAGGGGCTAAGGCGGGCTCCTAGCTCAGACCCCAACTTTGAGGGGAAGGAGGAGCTTTTCGTCTGTGCCATCTGAAAGGGCTTAAAATGGCTCTAAATCATTATTGGAGCAGTTTTTTAATAAAAGGTACTGTTTTTCATCTCAAAAGTTAAAGAATGAGAGAGAAAGGAAAAGTGAAATAAAGTAATTATGTATAAAATTTAGGGCAAAAAAAAAAAAAGTAAATTCAAAAATATTAAGGGATAAAAAACATATAATTTAGGAACTGAACTGCCAGTACTATTAGCCAACACAGCAGTCTTTTTACAAAAACTTACTCTCAAACACTCAAAAGTGTTCAGAAAAAGTAAATGAAATTAATTCCAATTCTTACAGCTATATGCATGCCTTTCTGTTTCCTTGGCAAATACATAAAACAGTTTAAAGATTCAGACTGTTCTTTTCTAATATAAATTAGAAGAACAACTGTTCCAATGCACATGCTCACTTAAAACTCTTTGCCAGGGCTGATCTGGGTAAAAAAAAACAATCCTTTTTCTACTTAATCAGATGTGATAGAAATTAAAATGAAGACATTCTACCCACATTCTTTCACTGCCCTGCTTTATTACTAGTTTTAATATATCTGCTATTCATAAGACACCACTGAGACTCTGCAGAGCAAGAGAAAATACAACTAAAACCAGATAGTAACTGGTCATACTAGCATTACACAATACTACCAAGTAAACTGTCTTCTTGAAAATGTCCTAAACTTATTTTCAATTACCTATTAGAGAGTTCAAGAATGCTACTTGTTTTTACTTAAACTGTCCCACTAGCAGAGTGTAAGTCGTTTTCTGAGTCCCTCACTATCACATTAGATAATCATTTTCTATCCACAGCTCTTTGCCTTTCTCCCTTAGCCCTGTGCTTTTAATTTCTTTCCAGAGCATTTATAGAACTGGAACTAAAGCATTTATAGAACTATAGGTATATAAAACTATAAGCACTATTTATAAACATTCTGAAACGTGAAGTTTATAAACTAAAGCACGGTAGAATAAGACAAGAAATTTTCAGGTGAGTATAATCAACCGCATGCTTAACCGTAAAACTGTGGAAAATTCTTTACAAACTATTTTTAATAGAACACAAACTCTCATTATTTATCCTACTGAAAGTACCGAGGCATCTTCCACTAAAGTTTTCAATATTTTCCAACAAAAATGCATTAAAATTCCTATTTGTCTTAATTAGGTTATTTTAAAAAGCCCATATTTCTTTAAAAAAAAAAAAAGTGTGTAGAGTCTGCTTGAATAAATTTTATAAACGATGAAGCATACTTAGGAAATCAAAACTCACCTCTTCTTGCATAACTGGAGTCCATATCTTTAAACTGTACCACAACAAAGTCTGAACACTTGAACAAAATACTCTCCATTATTTCTTCACGTTTTGGCCCTGAACTGGATTCTGTACTTTTCTCATGTGCGGCATCAAGTACCAAATCACACTAAAAAGAAAAACATGAGTAAATATTCAAACATTTATAAAATAATACTTGACAGGACTTGTTCAGCACATCAAGATGGTATTCTTCTATGCCTCTGGCAAAAATAATCTATCTCATGAGAATTTATAATTTTACCTTTTTCTCAGAAATATGTTGTTTCCCATTCCATCATTCAAAAATCCTCTCACCTAAAAGTTGGTCCTTGCTACCATAGTATGTCTTAAGCACATTAACAATAATAAAAAGGAAAACAAATGAACAACCCAATCTCTCCTTCCTCTGGTCCACAATGCTTGAAAAGACCAAAAGATTTTAATAGGCACACAGATCAAGAAGTCTTTTGGATTACATATATCATCTATAAAATAGTATTTGGAAGTTAAGAGCAAAATCATTAAAACTGGTTTAAAAAGTACATTTAAGGCAAAGCACTGAGCATGAAGTGTGACCGACGTACCCACCTCAGAACGACCAACTGCTAAATCAGAAACGGACAGACATATCAGGAAGCCACACAGACACATGGTAGTTAATGATTCATGGGCTTTCACATTTAACAAAAAGGAAAAGAGTAAAAATTACCTTAGGACTGTATGTTTTAAAAACTCCTTCATATATACCTCCATTTTTCACTTGTACTTCACATTTGGATCCCTAAAAACACACAATTAATTTATCAAAGAAACTGTGTGCTACCCAGTCATGGTGGTAATTGCTTTCAATTCACTTTTTATAGCTCATCAGGCTTCATTCAACATATCAGGTATCCACTGACAGAACAATAAAAACAATTTAAAACATCAACAATACACAATTCTCAAAATTCTTCAGAGGATCCTGCTCAGAATTTACAGCATGAATTTAAATACTGAAGTTAAATATTTTTGACTTGTTTTATTACGTGACAAAATAATGCACTAAAACAACTACTAATTTTATTATGTACACAGCAGGGTTAACAAGAATGCTTTTTATAGTTACAGTAACTTGGGTAGAATTCTAATCTATTTTTTTAAATTATCCTGATTAAACATGACCTAAGAAATGTTACACAGAGAATCATTCACCCACATTTTAACTTTATGAAATTACTTTATTCCACTCCCAAGGCAATTTCTCCCCAATAATCTGACAACTTACAACAACTGATGTAAGTATATGAACCATCCTCATATTTGCATAGACTCCATCAAAAGAAATCTGAAAATATTAAGAAAAGATATTATTAGCAATCAGATTTATCCTTGTATATATATTAAAGTTAACATTTAGTTAGGTTTGTAACACCTTACCTGCATTAAAGGACAATTTGGTTTACTACAGTCTTTTGCTTCCTTAGGGAAGCTTAGGTTTTGAAAAGTGACATTAGTCATACCAACTAACAATGTTTTGACTATACATGATATAAAAAGCAAAAGTGAACTTACATATATGAGGAAAGACAAAACCAAAGGAACAGAAGAGACAGAACAATGCTTGGGCAGCAGGTTTCACTAGAAAGTGGCATGAGAAATTTTTAAAGGCGATGGAGCTGCCCTGGTGGGTTTGGCTCAGCGGTTAGAGTGTAGGGCTGCAGACCAAAGAGTTCCGGGTCTGATTCCAGCCAAGAACATGTACTTCGGTTGTGGTTTGTTCCTGGCCCCGGTTGGGGTTGTGTGGGTGACAACCAATTGATGGGTGAATCTCACATCAATGTTTCTCCCTCCCTCTCTCCCGCTCTATCTGAAGATCAATGGAAAAATATCCTTGGGTGAGGATTAACAAAAACAAACAAAAGACAAAGTCTCAAAAATTAGTGAACTTCTCATTTATTTCTTCCATCATGTGGAACTTATACCTTCTCCTGTTCATGCCCAATTTAATTCCACTGATAAAGTTTCAAAATAAAAAAACCAAAGAGCTCTGCAAACTCCAGTTCTGGTGTTCCACTTATCTTACAAGAGTTAGGTTTGCCTTCAGTCATTCAAAAAAGAACAAATGACATTATTATACACGAAAAATATTGTTTACAGACAATTTTACATTTAACACAGTCATCATCAAAAACCATATAGAGCTAATAATTTTATACCAAACAGTATTAATCTACAAAAGATATCTGAGATATAATATTGAAAAGAGGGCAACATTTTTTGCCTTGGTTTTTTGGTCTATGGTTTGGAACGCACATTTTAGCAGTTTTTCCAAACAAATAACATTCAAGTTACTTACCGTAGACTGAGGAAGTCCCTTGTTATTGTTTCGACCTCTGAAAAGATTAAATATTGTTTATTAAATTCAACAGGCTAAATAAGCTAAAAAAATTTTCAAATTAAAAATGCAACTGCCATTTGACCCAGTGATTCCACTTCTAGGAATATATCCTAAGAATCCCAAAACACCAACCAGAAAGAATATATGTACCCCTATGTTCCTAGCAGCTAAGATCTTAGCTTATTTACAATAGCTAAGATCTGGAAACAGCCCAAGTGCCCATTAGTAGAAAAGTGAATTAAAAAGCTGTGGTACATGCACACAATTGAATACTATGCAGCTGTGAAAAAAGAAGGATCTATTACCCTTTGAGACCGCACGGAGGGACCTGGAGATGATTATGCCAAATGAAATAAGCCAGTCAGAGAAAGACACATATTACATGATCTCACTTATATATAGAATCTAATGAACAAAATAAACTGAAGAATAAAATAGAACCAGAGTCATGGAAACATGGAACAGACTGACAAATCAGAAAAGGAAGGGGGGAGGGGTAGCTTGGGAAGAAATGAACCAAACACACACACAGGGCTCACGGACATAGACAATAGGGTGGTGAAGGCCTGGGGCTGGGTGGGAACCAGGTGCAGGGGAGCAATGAGGTAAAAAGGGGGGGAGGGTCATCTGTAATACTCTCAACAATAAAGTTTAAAAAATAAATATCTTATAATTCCATTCAAATAAAGCAAAGGTGATCAATCTGTGAGATGGGGTCAGCTAATATTAAGTTTAAAAGCTATCTAAGTACGGCTCTCTCTGCGCTTTGCTGGCTCAGAGACCCAGAACAGGTATGGGTCATGGAAGGGAGGAAGGAGGAAAGAAAATGAACGTTATCAAACTCAAATAAATTAAGTGAAAAATAAAAATAGTCTACTGGAATAACCAATACTAATATAATAATCTTTACTCCAATAGTAACCAATTACTCTGTTATAAAAAGCTAATCAGGAGCAAAATATAGATTATATTCCTGATGTGACCAACATCAAGTCACCTCCTATACTTTTCCCTCTCTCTAAAAACAGGTACTGTGTTTACAACTGCAGAAAAACATCTGAAAATAAGTTAAATCATTCAAAGCATTTCACTTCTAAATAATAAGTGCCTCTGTCAGAATCAATGTAACAAGTGCCTTTCCCTGCCACTCCACCCGAAACAATGCCGTACACCAACAACACTGGCTGTCAAGTAATTTCCAGTAATGTGGACTCTATTTTCAAGTTAATTTGATTATATACCCTCAGGCTTGTTCCTTTAGAAAAGATTAGACCACTTATGAAATGATAAAAGCACTAATAAAGTGAAATGTTATATTCCTCATAAACATTTGTTACTCCAGAATAACAGAACTGGAATCTCATTTTAATAAAATTACACCTCTCAAATTAAGCCACAGACTTAAAACATTCAAAGAGAAGCACAATTCAGGTCCAAAAAGTCTAGCAGTTTGAATGGTGCCAATTTCCAGCAGAGCATTACTGATCTTAGCACTCCGAGTCCAGGGCTGATTTGGTCTCCAACTGTCACCTTCTCTCATCTAGAAAATGTCTTGCCCTGGCCAGTTTGGCTCAGCGGTTAGAGCGTCAGCCTGCGGTCCGGAGAGACCCGGGTTCGGTTGCAGTTTGTCTCCGGCCCTGTTTGGTTGTGCGGGTGGTAGCCACTCGATGTGTCTCTTTCGCGTCGATGTTTCTCTCTCTTCCTCCCACTCTATCTGAATAAAAAATGGGAAAATGTCTTCGGGTGAGGATAAAAAAAAAAAAAAAGAAAATGTCTTGAATCAAATCATCTCTGAGATTCCTTCCATTTCTAACACTCTGATTCTGTGACTCTGCCTCATACATAGCACAGAGAAATTCCTAAAGCCTAAGGAATATGAGCATTAATTTACCATTTATACAACTAAAAGCCAGACACTATGGTAAGCAAAATGTGAAATCTACTTTACAGGTGAGGAAACCAAACCTTAGCAGTTAAACATCTTGACCAAAATCATCCAGCTCATGAGTGGTATTTGAACCAGGTGATCCAAAGTCCAGACTTTATTTCTAAGGTTATACTGCCTCTTTGAAACTGACTGCATCACAGAAACTAGACTAACCTCACAATTAGGCCTAACCAAGTTTGTTTGTTTGTTTCAAACATTATTTGAACTTATTAGGTTTTTCTATTTATTTGTAATCTGTAGTCAAAGGCTAAAAAATTCGCTAAATCTTGTTTAGAACAATTATCTCATCTTAGTGGTTGCTGAGATGCCACAGTTAAAAGACTCAAGCAACTGCCACCAATTAAAGTGCCCTTAAACTCATGTGGCATCCCCAAAGCCATTTAAGAGTTTAAAACATAAAACTCTTTTAGTCCAGCCGGTGTGGCTCAGTGGTTGAGCATCGACCAATGCACCAAGAGGTCGCTGGTTTGATTCCCCGTCAGGGCACATGCCCAGGTGGTGGGCCAAATCCCCAGCACAGGGTGTGCCGAAGGCAGCCAATCGATGCTCTCTCATGGATGTTTCTGGCTCTCTCTACCTCTCCCTTCCTCTCTATCTAAAATAAAATAAATAAAAAACTATTTTATAGCAGTCACACTATTTTTATACATTTATATCTTTGACTCATAAAGAGCAATTGTTTTGACAATCCAACTTACTTAGAACAAACAGTTCAACAGGGAAATAACAAAAGACTCAGTGGGATAAAGTGGTAGAATGTGGAAACCACCGATTTCCCGATATACCAAGTGGTTGGACACCTAAGGCAGAATGTTAACATATCACAGCAACATTCTCCAAAACTGATAAAATCCCAAATGCATTCTTATATTTCTCCTTTTTGGATCCACTCAGATTATGTTTTACTTTTTATTTAGTACTCCTAATATTTCATAGTTACAAAAAATTGAATCTCAAAGAAAAGCCATTCTAGTCCTAAATATATTTATGATTAGATTTATCAAAACTATATCGAGGGTTCTAGGCTTCTAATAGCTATTAAATGAGGTTAAGGTGCAATTCAAAATACCAAATTGACACAAAGAAATGTACAAACTGAAGAGTTTACTCTGCTTCACAATAACATAGGAGGAAGGAAATAGATGAGGAGAAAAATGAAATAAGCCTTGGCCAGTTTAGCTCAACAGTTAGTGTCTGCCTGGGAACAAAAGGGTGAAGGGTCTGATTCCTGTCCAGAGCCAATCAATGTGTCTATCTCACATCAATGTTTCTCCCCTTCTTTGTCCCGCCCCTCCCTCCTTTCCACTCTATCTTAAAATTAATGGAAAAATGTCATCAGGTGAGGATTAACAATAACAAAAAAGAAATAAGATAGCATAAGGTGGTATCACAGCTAGGTGACAGGTGACAATTACTCTAACTAAAAAAGAAATGCCTTCTGATGTGTTGCAATCAGAACCTAAATTTAATCAAGTTTACAAATCTACCAGTTTACAGGAAACATGGGGTAGAAAAATATATTAACTGTATCATGAGGTTACAAATCACTTAAATCCAGAATGTGGTAAATTCAACCTGACAAATGACAGTTTCTTCAACAAATAAATGGCATGAAAAGAAAAAGAAAAAAAAAGTGTGGAGAAAGAAAAAATTATTATAAATTTAAAGACACACAAAAGCTAAATGTGGCCTCCCAATTTCAAAACTTATTACAAAGCTACAGTAATCAAAGTAGTGTGGTACTGGCATAAGGAGAGACATAAAAACCAATGGAAAAGAAGAGACAGCCCAAAAATAAATCCTCACATATATGAGAAATTGATTTTTAACAAGGAGGTTGAGAGCATTCAATGAGGAAAAGACAGTCTTTTCAATAAGCAATTCTGGAAAAACTCGATATCCACATGTAAAACAATGAAGCTGAACTGTTAACCTTACATACTATACAAAAATTAACTCAAAATGGATCAAAGACCTAAATTAATTAAGAGCTAAAACTATAAAATACAAAAAAATTTTCATGACCATGAATTTAGCAATGATTTTTTTTTAATCCTCACCTGAGACCATTTTTCCATGTTTTGTTCAGATAGAGTGGGAGGGAGGGAGAAGAAGGGGGAGAGAGAGAGAGAAACATCAACGTGAAAGGGACACATTGAGTGGCTGCTTCCCACACGACCCAATCAGGGCTGGGGACAAACTGCAACTGAGGTACCTGCCCTTAGGGGGAAGGAACCAAACTCGGGTCTCTCTGGACCGCAGGCTGACACTCTGAGCTGACACTCTAACTGCTGAGCCAAACCAGCCAGGGCAGCAATGATTTTTTTTAAATCCTCACCCAAAGACATTTTTGCATTCATCTTCGGACAGAGCGGGAGAGAGAGAGGGAGGATGAGAGAGAGAGAAACATCAGTGTGAGAGAGACACATCGACTGGTTGCCACTCACACAACCCCAACCAGGGCCAAACTGCAACGAGGTACGTGCCCTTATTGGGAACTGAACCCAGGTCTCTCTGGTCTGTGGGCCAACGCTCTAACTGCTGAGCCAAACAGTCAGGGCAGCAATGATTTCTTAACTGTGATACTAAAAGCACAGACAACCTAATAAAAAATAAGATAAAAAATACTCATAAAAATGTAAAACTTGTGTGTAAAGGATACTATCAGATAGTGAAAAGACAACCCACAGAATGGGAAAAAAATTTGCATCTGACATATATATATATCTGACATATATATTATATATCCAGAATACATCAAGAACTCCTACAACAAAATATACAACCTAATTTAAAAATGGGTGAGACTTCAATAGACATTTCTCCAAATAAGTTACGCAGTTCGCCTAAAAGCACATGAAAATATTCTCAATATCACTAGTCATTAGCAAATGTGTATCAAAAACAAAATGAGCTACCACTTCAACTCTTTGAAGATGGCTATTATAAAAAACTAAAATACAAACAAAGCCCAGAAAATAACACATTGGCAAAAATGTGGAGAAACTGGAATCCTTGTGCATTGCTTGTGGAAACGTAAAATGGTGCAAC